GGAAAATTTTAAAAAACATAATGATATTAACTAAACATTTTAGTGTATTTTTTTCATAAACAAAATAAAGACTCTTACTTGAACTGTAAAAATAAATGACAGATATTATCAGAAAGCACTGACTGCACTGACAAGACTTTGACAAGAGTTTAATTATTTTCGTATTTTATCTGTAAATAGGTATGGTTAGGTTATACCGGCGATATCAGGGTGATCCACTTAGGCCTATAGGTTCATTGTGCTACCGTATTATTTAAAACTCAAGGATTAAAACCATCTAGAACCTTTGGCAAAGCTTATGATGCTATTTAAAAGAAGGTCTTGAAGTTCGCCAAGATCCTCAAAAAAGAAAACCCCTAAAATGTTGAGGCAGCGCCGCACATGTGCCGAATAGAAACAACACAACTGGGAGATATGGTTAAAAGGGAGATTTAGTCTTCTAGCATGGTTACCTAGAATACAATGACCTGTTAGTAAACCTACTGCAAGACTGATATCTTTACGGGGCATCTCTATGAGAGAGTTCGATTTTGTTCTATTGGTATGTGACCAAATTGCATACAGATGCCTGTATATTGTAGAGTCTTCCCATCTTCTATTAAAAAATTCAGCACAGAAAGAACTCAATACCAATTTGCTTGATGACAACAATATGCCCAGATTGTTTAGGTGTTCCGAGTGGTTTCCTGAAACACCACGACTGGCTAGCTCATCTGCTTTGCAATTGCAGTAAATATCTCTATGACCGGGAATCCAAATTAGAGAAATATTGAACTGCGACGACATCTCATTTAGAGATGTGTAGCTGTCAAAAACTGTCGTAGTTGTAAATTGTAAATAACAATTTTTATGGTTAGTGAAAAAGTGAGACTGATACAAAAATCTTTCCAAAAACTCTGTGTAGTCTGTGTAGATGGAGACTTAAAAATGGTATCTTAAATAAAATTAAAATTTGTCGTGTTTATTCATATTAATCAAGAATGCGTATTATTATTATTTAAAAATATTGGGTTATTAAAACACATAACTACTGTATATATGATCATTAATACCATTAACATATGACATAGAAATCTTGCCGGTGTATCCGCCGAGTTACGAATCGTTTTGATATACTAAGCTTTTAATAACAATATTATTGTTAGTAGATTTATTATAACTGTTACATCTATATATATTAACAATAATAAGTATTAATTTAATAAAACATAAACAAAAATGTTATGAAAGCTTAGTTTTTTATGGCTTTACGCTATTCATATATATTTCATAGTAACTATGTATGACTTATCATTAAAGCAAACAATCTATTATTAACTGAAGGAATCACAATGTGCATAATATAATAATAATAATAGTTTTACTATACAATATACAATATACAAAAAATAAAAAAAGAGTTTTAATCTATTTTCATAAATTCATTTGAATAGATTTATTTCTATAGATTAACGTTAGGCAGGTGTTTTAGCCTAATTATTTTAATGTATCTACAACGAATATTGATTTTTGGTTTATTTATATATGTATATTTTTTTTAGTGTTAATAAGGAAAATTTTTTATTGATGAATTTCTTTAGAATAATTATTAATATGTAAACATAACGTCTTATCCATTTGAATGCATAAAGTTTCTATTTAATTGTTAAGTTAAGAATATTTTACAATAGTAGTAATAATTTATGTTTGGATAGATAAAAAAGTTTCTATTTTTAGAGTTTTAATTCTACTTATAAAAGTTGAATGCATATTATAATGTGATTAATCAAACATCTATATACATCTTTACATATAACATGAGCATGTACAATATGTACAATAGGTATGTGCTTAATGTTTTTCTGGTTTTATCGCGATTTTTATGTAAATGTTAAAATTAATATAAATAATAGTAATTTTTTTAATATGCAAGTATTTAATGTATATATATATACATTGTATTTTTAATTGATATGTATCAATACTATGAGTATTAATAATATTTATAATATTTATATTTGTACTAAGTGAACAAAATTCTATTGTATTTTATATTGTATATTATATTAACAGCTTTATATTATAAATATTATTTTTATTATTTTAATTATTATATTATATCTTATTTTTTTTTTTACCCGGCACTGATGTGGAAGAAACACCTAGGAAGGTGTTTCTGGATCATACAGATTCAAGACTAGAAAAGATAAGCTCTATACTGTCTTTCATTAAAGAAACCGGACTTGGAGAAATACTCTAACCCGACTAAGAGGCATAAGAGATCTTTTAGGTCGCAGTGCACGATCCCTTCTTTTAACAAAAATATAACATATATCTTACAATTGTGCATTATTTATGTTATATTTATTATTGTGAATTTCTAAATTACTCAGTTTGAGTTATTTCTAATATAAATCACTAATAATTATTATTTGTTTTATTATTTTAAATTATACTGGTTTTTAATATTGTATCTTTTTGGACTGTTATTTTTCTAAATTTTATATACAAGTATCAATTATATATTGAAAAGTTACTTTTTAACTATTAATGTCAGTTACTGTATTGTTTTATCACTTATTGTACAAAAGTAATTAAAGTTTTAATTGTACGATGTATATTGTAACCGCAAATGTAAAATTCTTGTATACATACAATTGTGAACCGAAAAGTTCTTCGGAAATTTTAAAATAAAACCAAAATTTTAATCTCATCAATATTATTTATCTCCTTCAAAATATGCTCCATTAAGCGATACACAAAAGCCAACCAACGTTCTCCAACATCAAAAACAGTTTATAGGCGCTTTCCGGTATGGCTTTGAGTTCCCTCTGCGAATTCTGTTTTACGTCTTCTATGGATTCAAAACGCGTTCCTCTGAGTGGTAATTTGAGGTTGGGAAACAGGAAAAAGTCACACGGTGCAAGATCAGGTGAATACGGTGGCTGTTCGATGGTATTTATTGAATGTTTGGCCTTAAAATCGTTGATAATGTTGAACAAATTGAGGTGAATCGGAACAAGCCGGGCGTTGACACGTCGCATACACAAATTGTCCACCAAAATCAAACGAGCCATCTCACGACCGATGCCTAGCTCTCGTGCTATCTCTCTAACACTCACATGAGGATTTTTGAACACGATTTCCTTTGCCTTTTCAATGTTTTCGTCGGTGGTAGAGGTCGAAGGTCGTCCAGAACGCGGCATGTCTTCGACGGTCGTACGACAGTCCTGAAAGGCTTTGTACCACTCATAAACTTGAGTTTTCGATAAAACTGATTCCCCATAAGCCTTTTGTAGCATTCGCAACGATTCTGCACACGAAATTTCGTTCGAAAAACAAAATTTGATGCAAACTCTTTGTTCAATATTTTTTTCCATTGTTTTTTTCGCAACGCACTACTGAGGTGAACTGGTTTCAACAGCTGCCGTAAACGAAACGTC